TCCTTCTCAAATAGTTTCTTTGTGTATTTGATCCCACCAAAAAATAAAATGACTATAGTACTCTTGATATATTTACTTTCCATTTTTTTCATTTTTAAAGTTATTTTTATTCTTAAATATAGAAAAAGACTCACATACTCACCCCACGTGTAACATCTTGTTTATGGTGTTAGAATTTTTGGGTTTTTTTTCAATAAAAATATATTTTTTTAAATAAAATAATTTGAAATGTAACAAATAATATGTCACAACTAGCAAAATTAGATTAAAATGTGAATTCCTATACAATATAACCTCCTTGGGTAACCTTACAACACCTCATCTAGAGAACTTCGAAACTTTAACGTCATTAAAAAATTCTACTTTTATACATTGACATTTAGGTCAAAACAATCTCATATAAACCCGAAACTCGATCCTTAAAGCCAAATCGAAACCCATGGGAATTTTATTGGGCCAAGCCAAATGGAAACCCATGGAAATTTTATTGGGCCAACCTTGGGCCGATTAGGGTGTAGCTAAACAAAAAAAAATGGGAGGAATTACCTAGAATTGACACCTCAATATTACATGGCATACATCCATGCAAGTAACCAACATGCATCTAGAATGAATAACGTTTGTCCATCATACTTCCAAGCACCATCCACCCTCCCTTCTCTCCTTAAAATTCGTCCATGCCACCTCCCCATCACCACTCTCCTCACTTCATTCCACTTCTAATTCCCTTTCAAAACTTCAAGAAATCTCCACACTTCCTCTTGCAAATTTCGTGATCTTGGGGTGGGGTTTCAAGAGCTTTGCATCAAGTATTATCATCTTTGTAAGTTTACTTCACACTTAAGTTGTGTAACTCCATTTTATGCTAAGATCTTACCTTAAAATCCACTTTATTTTTGGGTTTGTGCTCTTAGAACACCAAAACAACACAAATCTCATCAAGAACTCAAGCTAGGTTCAAAGATCATTCTTCTTCTTCATCTACATCTCAAAAACCCCCAAGGTGAGTTCATACCCCCTTGTTTTCGGTTTTATAATGTTTTTGGGGGAGAATACAAGTGATTTTGTGTTAGATCTATGTATATATGCATGTTTATGTGTTTAACTTTTAGATCTTTACTTGAAAATGAAGTTTATCACTTGGATCTTCATATAAACCTTGAGAAAAGTATGTGTCCTCACATATAATACATGTAAACTTGTAGATCTGGGATTTATCCACTTAAAATAGCAAAAACAAGTGTTGTGAACAAACTTAGATAACTTAAACTCAACAATCAGTCCTTGACAGAAAAGTTTTAGTCTAATATCGAACTGTTTTGACCCCCTTAATGGTAATATTTTTCAAAACTGTTTTACATGCAAAAAGTTCAGGTTATTACCTTTAAAATTACTACTCTCACGTTTTCATACGATTTTTCTACTATTTTTGGCGAATTTTACAAAACTGCCTATCAGATTTGAAATAATTTCGGACCAACCTATGAAGGTGAGCAATTTCACACTTGTTAGAGGCCAATAAAAATTATGAGAAAAATTGTGAACAAAGTAGACAAAATTTCCAAACTTCCAGAATTTATGGATCCAAATTTCGACTTACGATGATTTTTCTACAAATTTTCCAACAACTAAGTCAGAAAAGCCAAAAACCAGAAAAAAATGTGTATTTCAGAAAAATCAAGCCAAAAATGATATTTTTGACAAAAATGGGTTTAAAATGTTATTTTCACCACAAACTAGTCATAAACACAAGTTTTGAACAAAATGGGGACTAAAGTGTTATTTTTACTATAATTGGGCCTTAATTGAAAATTTGTGGCTTATTGGGCCAAGAACATCATTTTTAAAAAAAAGTGGGCTTTTTATATCAAGTTTGTAAATAATCGAGCTAAAATAAACAAAACAATAACAAACGGGTTAAAAACGATATTCATATCCTTATTGGGTCTGGAAATAATATACATGTTTAGTGGGCCTTAGTGTCCTTTTACATGTTTAGTGGGCCTTAGTGTCCTTTTACATGTTTAGTGGGTCTTGGTTGTCTTTTTACATGTATATTGGGCCCAGGATATACATTCATATTCCTTTTGAGCCTGGAAATAATAGACACGTATAGTGGGCCTTAGTGGTCCACTTACATGTTTATTGGGCCTGGGAATGAGTTTTATATGTTTTTTTTTTTTTTTGTGTAAACTTTGATTAAGGATCTAGTGAGACTTTTCGTTTGGCACCATATGAGTCTACAAACGTAGCCTGTAGTTATAACCAGAGTTTCCTGGAGGGAAAGCGGGAGTTTGTGTATAGATCTATACGGGGGTGACACCCCACACCTGAGCTGTTCGCTACAGTTAGACTAGGCCAGTCTAGGGTGACAAAAACCTTATCTTATTCCGTCGGCGTCCCAAAGACGCAAAGACATGCGAAATTGTCATTATTTAGTATGGTTATGACGACTCACTTAGAGGAATTAACGTTATAAGATTTACGGAAAACCACTCTATTTTCTTTTTCGATAAAACGGGAAACCTTCTTCTTGATAAAACGGAAATCTATACGCACTGGTACTCAACCACGGGGGTTGAGATTCCAGCATCATCTATTGCGGACAACATTGGGTTGTCTGGAAATCATTCTCTTTCTATTTTTGTAACCTAAAACACACATGCATTAATATAAGATCGGACACAAATATTTCAAACCATTTCTTTTTAGAAAGTATCGGATATTTTTTAAAGCACTTTGAAAACGATTCTAAACAAGTACAAAAACCATTTTTATTCAAAACTGCTTATGAACTCACCAACTTTTTAGTTGACGCTTTTCAAAACGACTTGTATTCTCAGGAATTCCAGTAGCAGGTAATAAGTTCGACTATAAGATCAAGTGGTGCGACTTCAAGAAATTTTACTTTCTTACTTTTGTGTAACTGATGAACAAGATTCAATATGTAAACTATGTAAGTGTGTATTTCTAATGTATGATGTTTGGTTGCTATGTTTCATTTATATTCAATTGTTATGATACTGTACACGAAGTCATCCGCCCCCGGACGTTTCCGCCGTCTAGGTTCGGGGGTGTGACATAATAGATGGAAGTAAATGATTTAAAATAATAACTATAACAAACCATGTTTATAATTTAAATTAAAGTATGATAGAATTTGACCTTATGGAATGAAGTAATCATTCTTAAGTTGATAATAAAAGAAACGGTGTATAATTGAATCATATTTGCACCAAAAAGTGATACAAGTTAAGTAGGTGGTTAAAGGGCATATATTTGAGCACTATTCAATCCATTATATTGATCATTAGTACCTTGAATATGTACTATGCATATTCAAACACCCTTGGATATGAAGAAAGCTAAGGGAAATAAACATATTCGATCCCAATCCATCACGGTGAGTAACATATGGTACTTAGTACTTACATCTTTTCAGATGTGTATTTATAGGTTTTATAAACGGGTACGTATCAAATATATATATATATATATATATATATATATATATATATATATATATATATATATGTTTACATGAATGCCAAAATGACCCATAAACGGGTGCATCCCAATTACCTCTAACAACCATATCCCCTTTTCCCTTATCCATCGTTCTGTCTTCTCCGACGACCGGTCGCTTTTCTCCAAAGGACAGGAGTCCACATCTTTTAATGAACAGATTTTGAGATTTAGGTTTGGTTTTTAAATTTATAATTATCGATTTGTAGTATCTTTTCTGGTTTTGCTTGTTACTGGATGACATAGGTGACAGATGGAGGGAGAGGAGGAAGAGTCTGGATAGATTTTGATGGAGACGGTCAGCTATGGCTAATCCGATTTTCATCTTGATGGTTAGCTATGGTTGATCTCTCCAAATTCACATATATTAACTTTAGGTCACAAGGGGAAATTAAGATGATGTAGGTGACAGATAGAGATGGAGGAGGATGTAAGTTAATTATGAAGATGGTGGAGAGAGGATGGAGGACATGTAGTCGGTGGTGAAGAAGGAAGACGAAGAAGATGAAGTCGAGTGTGTGTGTGAGGAGAGTAAATTACCGTCGATAGGTGTGGGGTAGGGTGTTTCCTTTTTTCTTTTTCTTTTTTTAATTATTAAAATATATAAGTAAATAAAAAAATGTGAAAAATGAATAATAAGGGCAGAATAGTCTTTTATCTTTTTTAGGACCAAAACCAAAGAAAAGTTTTGATTTTGGACTTTCTATGCAAGTTGGAAAGTTTTTGGACCCTATCTAAAGTTTTTTGCAAACCACAGGGACCAATTTTGTAGTTTTGTCTTAAAAAAAATATTAAACAACTAAGATACAAATCTTAAAACACACGGTAAGAAAATGAGAGAGAGAAAGTAGAGAGAGATGATGAAGTAGGTTCGTGAAACCAATTAAACAACCGACTAAAGAGGGAGTGATACCGGCTATAACTCTATTGCTAATTAAGATTTTACCTTGATTATTTTGTATTTTTTTTAATTGAGTAGGTTGAGTGGTTTGAGAAAGATAGGATTTCCGTGTGTTGTGGGTTGAGAAAAATGAAGAAAAATCAAAGAGAAAAACTGATGTGGCATTGGATTCATTGGGTTGGGAGGGATCGACTCCCTCCTCCCTTACAATCATCTGAATTCTAAAAAATGTCAATTTTCAATCAGAGATCTAATTGAATGTTTGATTTTTCAATTACAAGTACTAGAACTGAATCTGAAGTTATCATATTGGAACAGGAGTAGGAACACCCATCGTCACAAAAGCTCAAGAACATCCAAATTAAAGCAAAAAAAACTCCAAATATCAATCACAGATAACCCCCAATAAGTTCAGAAGTTTATTGACCAAAGAGATAATTCCCAATAAGTTCTGTAATCGGCTGTATCATTAGCCATTTGGTTAAGTGAATTATAAGATTGAGTTAATATAAAAAGCTTAAATGACACACAAGCAACCCACATTGAACTAACCATGGTGGATGTATTAAGAAAACGACCCCATAGCATTTTAAAAGAGTCAACAAATAACAAAAACATCTAAAGAGAATAACACTCAGAAAACTGTGGATAGTAAACACAATAGACATTAGCAAATCGTCATCAAAAGAAAGAAAATTGGTTTAAATCGGATGATGCATAGGCTGAAAAATGAAATCTAAAACTAACTCAATTGTTCTAAGTATTGGTAGCCCTGGTGTATATCTGCTGGCTTGCATGAGCAGAAACCATCCTGATTGCACCTCTTGCCATCAAATCCTTGATTGCTTTTCTTGCCAGTGATCCATTAATCTGCCATAATCATACAAATTATCATTCCAATTAGTCTCACAAGCATAACACAATAGTTTAAACGCAAATCAGATATCAATTTGCATATGCAAATTGCTCAAAGCACCGATGCAAAAGATGCAGATTGTAACAATGATTCGTGAACAACCATCGTATGTTCCAAAGATCAAAATGAGAGAACCATATAAGTAAAACAATGAGATCTAGAAAAACAGGGGTGTAGTGAAATTTACCCTAAGACGATCGGATAGAATCGAAGGGGTGATGAGCTTAAACTTAGGGGCCTCAGATAGAAGTTTGTCATAAGTAGCCTTGTCGAATAGCACCATGTTGTTCACCTTCTCCTTTTGCTTTCCTTTGCTCCACTTCTGCACTTTTCAACAAAAACCATAAGCATCAAATGCGTTCAATTCAACAATCACACGCATATGTTAACAAGGAATAAAGCACGACCTTTTTCTTCTGTTTTCCACCGCCGGATTTGGCAGGCTTGGAGGACGGTGGAGGGGCTTTTTCTTTCTTTGGCGCCTGCAAAACAATGTGTCATAGTTCTTTAGCGTTTAGGATTCACGTAATAATTTAGCGTATAGATCCAAAGAAGAATTGTAGAAACGCACCATGTAAAGTGTTAGAGAAACAGTGGGCTGCGGCGGAATCCGGCGAAGAGAATATCAGAGGAGGAAGGGAAGAAGGTGATGAATCGCTTCACAAATTGTAAACCCTAAAGAACAAGGATTTTGTATATTTTTCGTGAAAGCCCAAAAATATTATGGGCTTTTCTTTGGCCCACGTTTCCAAATCTGGTTACAAACCGATAAAAATAAATAAATAACGTTTTTCAGATTTAAAAGAAAAAAAATAAAAAGAATTCGGTGCGGTTTATTACTTTGAAATTTGAATATATATCATATTAATAATTTAATAGATCTTTTGCTAATAACATAACATTTATAAAATATTCTTCATTAGAGTAGCGAAAAAGATTTTTTTGTACTCGTATAGCATATTTTTTCTTCATTGGGAAAACATGATAATATTCAAATCAAAATATATTTAACAAAATATTTTATCATTGGTCAAAATTTTAAAAATAATCTTCACCCATGAAAACGTTATGATTTTATGAACAAAATGACAAATGAAAATAAAAATTGCAATTTATTTAGATTTTGTTGGTAACGGTTACATGCATCTTTTAGAGAAGGGAAAACAAATAAAGTTATCATGGTTTTCTTACTAGCTTGACATTTTGTTTTACTATCCACCTATTTCACACTATTCTTAATCATATATTGCATTTCTTATATTATAAACTTTTTACACAAATAAATTTAAAAGCATGAGTGCATGACAAATATATATCAATAACATGTCCTATATTTACTAAATTAACCACCAAACATACACATATCACAATCCTAACTAGTATTATAAAATACTAAATATCAATCCTAAAATTATAAACTTTAAATTTATATCCCTACAAATAACTGAACCTAAAAGTGAAAATATACATACCTAAATCACATTACTTCCACATTTACATGTATGAACCTATGGATTCTAAAATATTATATCCTGGAGCAACATATAAGTTATGGAATGTCCTTCTATATCTCAGAGTTACAGTATCATTTGGCCATTATGACCTGTTATAGCATGTAAAAGTGGTTTTGATGCCTATATTTGGCCATTATGACCTTTTATAGCATGTAAAAGTGGTTTTGATGCCTACATGACACCCACGTTGATCACAATGCACATGCTGTTACATAACATGAACTTTATACTTATCAAAACCAGGGCCGTCTCAACCGGTTTTAGGGCTCTAAGCAAACCAAAATTTTGGGGCCCCTTGTCAAATCTAGAAAACTGAAAACCCAAATTCGTTCCAACAATCCAACTTGATTCACTGATTGTATTGTAATTTGTTGTAATCAATAAACAATGGAATAAAAAATCAGATAAATGAAAAAAAAAAAGAACTGAAAAGTATTAACCCATGGAATAAAAAATCAGATCAAGAAAGATTCATTCTCGTTTGAATCTGCTAAAGAACAAGAGATGTATAGTCAGACAACTCAAAAACGATTTTGATTGAACATGGTCACTACCAATCTACCTTCAATCGGGATTTTTAAAACAAACATGATTTTGATTGAAAAAAAATAAATTCAGATTCCATTCCAATTCCATAAACCAAAGCCAATAACCCTAATCAACTTTAAGTATTAACCCTAATTAGATAATCAAATGACAACATGATAGATAATGGAAAAATAAAAAGTGACAAGTGAAAAAACTGCAAATATATTACCGTTTCAGTGATACTGTGAGTCTGTGACAGCCTTCAATGGAGAATGAAGAAGCCGAGAATGGAGAAGGAAGAAGAAGAACAAAATGTGTATTTCAATGGTTCAGACTTCAGAGTGTTCAAGACGAGACTGGAGAAGGAAGAAGAAGACCAGTAATCGTCGCTTGTACAATAAGAAGAACATAACTTCTTTTGAGGGCTAGGCGTGCAACGATTCCCGGAAAAGCGTGCAGGGAATTCATTTTTTTTTGGAACAACAAAATGGAATATGGACGAGGTAATCAGAAATTGGGTTTAAGTGGGGCTCCTTAAAAGTGGGGCCCTAAGCCCTATCTTTGTTTATCTACACTTAAGGTCGGCCTTGATCAAAACTAAAATTACAAAAAACTAGTTTAAATTTTAAAAATATTAAAATTAACCAAAATTCCACGTGTACCAACTAATTTCAAATAAACATATTCCTCCATCTTAAATGTATTTTGACTATCTTTCTAGGCAAAAAAGAGAACATATTCACATTTGAGTCGTTAACCTTTGCATATTGCAAGGGTTTCGGCTGCAGAATCCCTCACACGAACATAGGTGGTGAAACAGTAACATATTTTATTTTCCATTATAGGAAGTGATGAACAACATGGTTGGAATTATGTAACATCAATAACATGGATGAATATATCACAATCAATATTCAATTTCAGTTAAATGAATACCATCACATTCACGAGCATTCAAGGATTCCTTTCAAATATTCTATTTAACAAAACACAACATTGACAACTTAATGCAAAAAGAACAACTTAATATTCATGGAAATGAGGACCTTAAGATCTATCCACCACCTATAACAAACACATTATCTATAGAAAGACGATAAGGAGATGAAGTTATAGCTTCAATGCAGAGATCATGCTTCCAGAAATCAGGACATTTTATTTAGTTGCAATGTGAAAGCTTTCAGATCGAGTGAGGATAACATTGAGACGATTAGTAAGGGGTCTATGTTGTAAATGTATGCTCTCCCTTGTTTTTCTTCTCACTATCATAACATTCTTTTTGGATGGATCCGATGTAGTCATGGTGAGATTCTTGAAGAACTTGAGGTCGGAAGGCAGTGACGGACATAAGGGGTTCCCGGGGTGGCCGGTAAAACCCCTCGAATTTTAAAAAACAATGTAATTTTTTTTTTGGAAATTTTCGGGTGTAATGTAATTTTTTCGGCATGCCAGTCTTAAAATCATGAGTACCACCACCGAGAATTATCCTACGTTCGCTACTGTCGGAAGTCAATCGCCATGGCAGTTTTCCATTTTTTCTGATACCCATAATTTTGATGGCGGCGATGACTACCTCATAACTCCCCTGATTGAGTATCGGGAACATTATCATTGATCTTTTCACTCGTCATGTCCAAGTTACATGTTAGTGATAAAAATACATCTAAGTTCTAACATTGTTAGATGCATTTTATATGCATCTTTTAGCACAATTTCCTACGTATTTCATTATAAAAAGCTAACTAACTACTGATTATTCTTATGTATTTCGTGTTTCATGATTATTTTGAAGAATGCTCGTACTGCTCACGTTTTTTATGACTTTTCAGGGCCATTTGGAGCACATGGATGATTGCGCAAGTACGAGATGCGTTTGTGGATGCTTAGGAGCTTAATTAGAGTCTAGACCAAGGAGGGATGTCGGAAAATGATAAAGAACTGCTTGGAAGGAGGAACGACGATCAAAAGAGCCAAAAAAAATAACATGCGATCACACCTTGTCTCCTTGCAATCGCAGGTTTGCCTTTGCGATCGCATGTTGGGTCGCAGGTTGCCTTCGAGGTTTTGTCAATCCAAAAAATTCATCAGCTGAGAAAAAAAGAAACATGCGATCGCAGGTTGTGCCCTTGCGATCGCAGGTTGGTCAATTTGCGTCGAAATGGCAACGTACTTCATTAAAAAGTCTCGTGACACGTTTTGGGTGATACATGCGATCGCAGGTATGCCCTTTGCGATCGCAGGTACGGCGTTTTGACAGCTAGACGTATAAATACAGCCTGATACTCTTCCAGTAACCCTAATTGGCGATTCCTGGCGATTCAGAGGCGATTTTCAGAGGTTTTCAAGTGAAGAACGCATATCTAAAGGAGACGATTCAATTTCTATTCGTAGTTTAGTAAGATTTATCGTTTAGATTCTATTTTCACTGTTTGTAATCCGTTTTTAGCCATGTCAGGCTAAAAACTCAGATTTCAGTTTCGCAAGACGTAACCTTTTCGTATGATTAATCATTAGGCGCTATGTTTGACTATGATTACTGTTTAGTTTGATCAATTCTATGTTAAATTGAGTGTTTGATCTTGATTTCAATTTCTGTTAGCCACTTAAATTGTTTGTGAATCATTCTAGTCATCTAATTGTTTAGATCCGTAATTGTCTAGATTAATTAGTAAAAAGTGACAAGTATTAGATTAATTATGAGTTTAGGGTTAACTCTAATATGAAATGATCAAACAAGTTTTAACGCCTCCGAGCTTATGAGAGGTATTGAACTTTACTGGGAATTGCACTGTGTCTAATGCAACTTTTCTTTGTTAATCAATAGCTTGTTTGATTAATTTAGTAAAAAGTTAGGTTTAATTCAAAGAACTTATTTTAATTAAATAATTTTCATAATAGAGGTCATTAGAGCTTGTTAATGAACTTCAGTACCAGTTTGAACAAGTGCATAGTTAAATATTGTGTTTAAGGTTAATTATATGATTAGGGGAGTCACCGCGAAACTGGAATTGCTTTCTCTTATTTGAATTTTCACCGCTTTAAAGTTAGTTATTTTTTTGTCATTTTCGATTTTTATTAGTTAAATTTTCAGAAATAACCCCCCCCCCCCCTTTATGTTTATTGCATTCATCAAGAATCAGTTCACACCTTACGCAAAGAGGTGTAAACATTAGGACGTGTCCCTGAGGATCCGACCCTGCTTACCTGTACTACCTGTTAGTGCAATAGAGCAGTTTATTTATTATTTTTATTTGTTTAAATTGTGTACGACAGCGGTCTTAACAAATTGGCGTCGTTGCCGGGGACACGGTAAAACACTAATAGTTTTATGCCAAGATCTTCACGTACAGGTGATCTGATTTTTAATCCAGAGATTGAGAAGACTGCTAGGAAGCTAAAGAAGGAAGCAAAACTCCGGAAGCGACAAGCAGGAACCTCAGCCTCCCCCCTCACATCCCAAAACACCCACACCACAAGGCACTCCCTTGTGGAACGAATCTGAAACCTCATTTCAACCTTTTCCAAAAGCACTACCTACCTCACCAGTTAACAGTCCGTTTAAAACCTACTCCTCATCATCTTCAGACAAACCCGAACTCACAGACTCTTCTGAAACTGAAACGGAAACAGAATTCAC